TTGGCATTTTACGTGTCTGCCTACACCAACATTGAAAAACTATCAAAAGACGGTAAATATATGTAAAATTTGTTATAAAGGCGATGAATTTGGACCAGTCACGACTGCATTTGGGCCTTTTGACCGGTGTAACTGGTCGAAATCGATCATCATTGTAACAGATTTTATATACACTTTACGTCTGTACCTGAAGTCGTATCTTATCATGTTCGCATATCTGTGAGGTCATAATACTCGTATTTTGTGCAAAGATCAGGTCCAAATTCTCCCAGGCTTGTCATATTTTAAATAGAAATCTGTGAACGACCCCACACGGTTCCACGGCGTGGAGTACCACAAGTTTCTCCTCTCGTCACGGTTTTCTTCGGTCCATTGTTTTCGACGGATCCGAATCTGCCCACTTCCTTGTTAAACAAATGACCCTGTCTTCGGCAGCTTTTGTTGTCAGAAAGGTTCGACACGCCTTTTGCGGTCAGTCGGCATGAACCACCCGGCTTCGACGTCTGATTTGGAAATAGTTGTTATGATGGTTGATATATTGGTTTTTGAATTTAGTAAACGATGAGGAAGCGAAATGGAAAGTTTCAAAGGCTTCAGAACAACAAACAAATCTTCAAACCCTGGTCTTGTTATCATATAACGTCGATCAATTTGATAATAATCGGCATCAGAATTTATCTCTCTCAGAACAGGACCAGAAAACGTCCGATTCAAAGACGAACCCTAAAACTACTCTAGTATCCAAACAATTATTGATATTGTTCATTATGACTGTAGTAAAATTGCGATGTTTACCCTTGGTCATTTTCTATAATATCATCAAGCCATTTAAAAAAATGTTATCCTGAAACCACAAACTGAATAAGTTAATAACAAAAACAAAGAGAGTTTAGATTTCTAATATCATGAGGTTGGTTGAATCACAATTGAAGTATTACTTTATTAACATTTTTGGAACTTGAACTTGAAACTAATTTTGTGTTATGTGCACAAGATTCTTGCATTCAGCATGCAACTTCCATTAAAACTATTTATTTGGAAATTGTTAACATCTTACCGTTTTACTGCTTTACCTTTTACTTAAAATATGAGTTTGAACTAGACTCCCCTGGGTTTAAATATATTACTAATGTATACAACTACAAAACATGGCCGGTATGTTTGTTGATTTTAATTAGTCTTGTTGATCACTTCTTAGTCATTATTGATTACTATTGATACCATTTTTAAGGGCCGATTTGTGTTCTTGTAAGTATGATATTCAAAGAAAAATTTTCACAAAGATTTTGATTCGTAGGTGAACCCATTGATGTATATAGGGATGTATATCGATGGGTAAGCCACGGGATTTGTGTAGATCTCAAACCTGAGTTATAAATACAACAATCCAAAGAAATAGTTCACCTATGTGTAAGTATATATTATTTAGAAATAATTACAAAAACAACATTGTTTTTGTCTATTTTTTTCTCAGTAAACCGCATCTCATAGTTCAAAGTTCTCAATAAATGTTCAATTCAAAAAAGTATATGGTACAGATTTTATATGGGACGAAAATAGCTTTTTAATTTACAGAGCACTGAAGAACATTAAAACTTAGTATTACATTGGATGTATTGTACTGTAGCGTCTATTATTCTACAAGTTTTTATTAAGAATTTCAAAACCGTAATAACTGAAACACCTCGAGTAGTGAAGGGCCCAAGGACTCTTCTGTCATCACCTCGTACCATTTGAGGCCCCCCAAGGCTCCTACAGCCTCCAGATTTATCTTAAGGTTGCGAAACCTGTATAAGAAACGATTGGGGTGACCTCATTTGGCTTTTGGAAATCGCGCATTCACGTACTTGTCTTTCCAAATAGAAGTAATGTGAAACCAATATTTTAGTACGTTTTACTGACGTTTCTTAGGAAAGAGTAATTTTATGTGGTTGATACTTTGTCTTAATTTACACTTAAAAAGTAATATGTTTACTTGAATATTTTCAATATTTCGTATTTTATGGGGCAACGAAACCAAAGGACACTAAAAACAATTGTCAATGGAAAACAGCGATATAAGACTTATGAAGGATTCTTCATCATAACATATGTCCAGTTACTTCAAAACCAACGTCGTTGTAAAACAAAATGCCACATAAAAAAAATGATCACGCGTAAATATCGAAAACCTACTGTTCATTATTTCATTTAACATCCTGGTGTTGTATAGATTATCAAAACCTTCGAATAATAATTATTGAAAATGTTCAATTTAAGTTATTTAAATTGAACACTGTCAATTAGTTAAGATTATTTCTAGAAAGATCTAGAAAGTTCACATTGTTTTATTTATTATTATTGAAAGTTTCGGTGAATTGTGTATTTTAAATTCATATTCCAGCGTATGAAACAATGCATGAATTGATTGCAAAAACACTGTAGATGTGTGAACTGTCTACGGTTGGTATTTCCCTCAAAAGAACATAAAATATCTGTACTGACAAAAGTTTACACCATCCCATCAACCCAGATCATCCCAGATTAGGTTGTAGTAGTAGCTACTCCATACTAACTTTACTAAGGGCTACTAATAGCTCATACAGGTTAAGGGTAGTTGTCAGTAAGTTCATTAATCGGATTTGAAGATTTGTATAAACAAACCGATTAAAAAAAGGCCTATTTATAAATTAGTCTACACTATGTTAAACCCAGTCATACAAAGGTATTATTTAATGCAATTTTTGGTGTGTGGACAAATAGTATGCTTTGAATGTAATGCCATTTGCTCTTTACAAACTAACCAAGCCATTTTTATAAATTTTGCTTTATAATCGTTTAGATCCGTGTTCTAAGCTACAGTATCGTATAAGATTAATGTTAACAAATAATTCTTAGAACAGTTTAAACATAGTATGTATGATCTTTTAGATTACTCAAACAACAACAGTGGGTACTTTATCGATAGTACACAAACACTTTATTAATCAACTATCAACAAAAAGGGAACTACCGCACTTCGTATATTTTACGCCAGTGTAAAGTTTAAAGAACTGCGAGTTGTCCACTGAGAAAGGGTTTTTAAAATTTGATTTATATATTATTCATACAAATTTGACATACTTAAATTTACTACATGGTATACCACTGTCTAACTATAACCTATGGCTTAACATAAGTTAAGATTAAACTTAAACCTGTTTTGGACCCGAGTGTCGTTAACGCAATAGAAACTTTAAATATCGACAAAGTGTAGGTGTCCTTAAAATTAAATAAAAAATGTGTGTGATTGAACAGCTAGATTATTTTCCAAAACGTAAATGAAGGTGAACCCGTCAAACGTTTTTACACAGTTGACGAATTAATAACGTAAACGTTTCATACGTGTTATTGGCGAGGTAAATAATTTACGATAATAAGGTAAACAATAACTCATAAGTATTTTTAACATATTATTTTTGTGCCCATTATATTATTACATATCATAGCATAAAATCAATTGAATGTTACCCCGGTTTAGCTACTGACTATCGTGTGCACAAATTAAACTTTAAATGGCGGCAAAGAGTACGCCGAGCTAAGGTTTTTTTAAATTTAAATAATATGTAAGTAATATGAATTTTTGCATAAATTGGGCTGCGTCGTCGCGTCGGCACTGGGAGAGACCTGTCGCGAAGGCTATTAGGGCTAATGTAAAATCAATATCACTGGCACAAAGGGAAATTTAATTCACAATTTAAAACTTGTCCGCGTTCTACACTCTTTCTCAAAATGGACCCTTTGTTTAATCTGAACCATATATCTGCATATATTATGAATTTTGAATTAAAATATGGCACGGTCTTTTTTGTCCATTTTAAGGTAATTAAAAAAATATATTAGATGATTTTAGAATTATTATACGGATTAATTAATTTGTGGGGTTTAGCCCTTAAAATCTGGCTTGTTTTATAGATGTTTTATTTGTTTTCAATATCTAGAATTTTTCCATATTGCTTTTTGTATGCAAAGTAAAATGCACCGAAAGCAAAGAATATATATATATTAGTGCTAGGTAAAATCGTTTAAATAATTGCTATTTAGAAACTATTTTTCCATCATAAACTTGGAAGTTAAAATTAAAAACTCTAGTTTATAATCACTGGCAATGAAATCCCATGTTAATAAATGTTCCATTCTATATAGTGAACAAAAACCTTTCAAAATAATCTTATTTTTTTAGATAAATGCTGACCATTATAGATACTGTATTCTAATTTTTTATTAACTTGTTGATGTTAAATTAATCTCTTAAGCATTGAATTCCTACAATTTAATTACACTTATAAATGAGGATTATAAAGGCTACAGTTTAGTATAGTTGTTAGAGGGTATCTCAATTTGCTAGACAAAATTGAATCTGGTTGGTTAATCCATATATAAATCCCAAAGTACCTATGAACTTTCGAGAAAACTCAGTCACACCCCCATAAACCATATACTTAAAATGTTCGTCATGACGAGAAACCTTGCACAAAACTATCCATTATTTCATAAACTGCCCTATAAGTTCGTAATTCCTTTCTAAAGGGAACATTACATATACCTAATGTTAAAAATATCCCAGCTGTAATTATTTGTTTGTTATTCTTTTAACTTTTTTAAACTAAGGTGTGATTATTAGTCTGTATTACTGTATTCTGTTTTGTTTATTTCACCTTAACTTAACCAATCTATAATTTTATTAATACTTATGAAGTCAATCGGGGTGAAGCCCGTGGGTAACAGCTATTTTAAATATAATTAATTCTAGTAGGATGCATCGATTTAGATAAGTTATTTGAAGTTTTAATATATACGTGGTGAAACTTACGTACAAAATTCATTAATTAGTAATGGAAGGAATTTCACTTATTCAGTTGCTTGTGACGAAGATATCGAGGGTAGTCTTTTAAAGTGCGAGAGAACAGATCTATATTCTACTTCGAAAACATAACCTCAAAATGCAAACTTAAACCTAGATGTGGTATAGGAAGTCTTACCTTGCTGGCTGCTTTTCCTAGTGGTCTTCTTCTCCTTCATCCACGGGTACTCCTGAACGTTGACTCCCTGGTCAACAAGTCCGGGAGGATATCCTTGCTGGGGACTCAGGGGGTCACCGCCACCCATCTCCAGGTGGTGAGGCAGTATGAACTCCGCCATGGACGGTTGGCTGCTGATGAACCCCGTCTCCGCCTGCGGTCCTCCCAGAAGACCCGGAGATTCCATGGCTCCACCAGCTGCTGCGGACACAGCGGCCATCCAGAACCCTCCGCCACAGCCACCGTCCAGGGGCGAACCCACCCTCTGCTTCATGCTGCCCAGGAAGTCCTCTCCTTCGTCTTCCTCCTCGTCCTCTTCGTCCTCCACGAGGTGCGCCCCCTGCTGCTTCCCCCTCATCCCCCAGTCCTCGAGGTCCACCAGTTTCGCGCACTCTGTTGACGTTTTACACGAACATTCCCGACAACGCTAGTGTTAAATGTACTCTATCTACACTGGTTTCCGCGGGTTTCACTATTTCTCGCACTGTTCCACTGCACTGTCCACTGGTCGTCGTTATACTCTTCCACTCCCCATCGCCACTGTCTCCAGTCAGCTGGGCGATGCGCTGTTTCGCTCCAACCACCTGGCCAAACAAAACACAATAATTATACATTCGGACAACGGACTGATTATTGTTATAGTAGCGCGTGTAGCGGTCAGTTGCTCGATGCATTTCGGTTGTTCTGTGCCTTGCGGTCGCTCTTTGCTTACACGGAACTGTTTTTCTGGTGAGCTTAGTGAAACAGGTGAGGAGTGTATGGAATGGACAATGAATGATTAAACTAAATAATGATACAGTAGTTGAAATAATTGTTAATCGAAAAATCTTCGTTTCTGAAACATTTTTATCTGTTATTCTAATCAAGTGCCAAGATTATTTTACGTTTTTGCAAGTGTAGCCTATTGGTCTCGAGTCATGTAATTACAATTTGCACTACGCAATTAACTTACTAACTTTGCATAATATATAATAAAGGAAATACATTTTAATAATGAAAAGTGAGTTTTTGTAGAATCAAGCTCTCAAATGAATATACAGACTTACTTTTGAATCACAAATTTACAAAAACTAATGTAACAAAAGGGAGAAACGGGTGTTTAAGCTATAATAAATAATTATTGTGCCCAACCAAACAAATTCGCAAACTGTTTACTTCAACCCTAAAAACATAAAGGTAGTTCACAAAACTTTAGAACTGCCCAGCTTTACATTAGACATCGCAATAGATACTTTGTTCCCTTAAGAAATTAAAATAAATAAAGCTTTTAAACTTCTCTCACTGAGAAATATAATTCCAATAGCTAGTTCCAATTATTTGTTCCTACTCAAACATAAAACTGCAACCTACAAATACACTTCTTGCCTATGTAGTTACTTAAATTGCAACTTTTAACACACACTACGCCGTTCATAGTTAAACTTTTTATCCAAGAAATATCTTAACTATATTTTAGCGGGTACATTAACTGGAAGGAGAAACTGGGAGGGGAGAAAGAGAGAAGGAGCATCAGATTGACAGATTATAGATGGAATGACGTTTACAAGGTTGGGGCATCTCGGCTCCACAGCTTCTTAGCTACATGACATCGACAATACATGCGGGCAAAAACTCTTTTCCTCTGTAAAACTCTGTTTACCTGAATATTTTATTGGGAACAGTTTCGTGTGTTTAAGAGAGCCAGTTTTTTACACATTTCGGAAATGAAGAAGATTGCTCAAAAATATTTTTAAGAGTTGAGGATTTGAGCTTGGTAATCACTTAAGGGAATAGGGGTTTATTTACGTTGGTTTTAATTGAAAACTTCCATATGGATTTGTACAGCCTTTCAGGTTTCAAGTTTTTTTTTACCACAAAACTGATTAAAACGTGCGCCAAAACTGAACATGCATAAACACGTTTGATTACGAAAAACACATTTTATATTTTACATTTCGTGTCTACAAGTGCTATATGTAATTAATATGTGAATATATAGGACTATATCTGGTGGTATTCTCTACGTTTTAATGTTAAATATTCATATTATTAATTCGCATTTTATGCTCTTGTATAGGTTTATGTTTATACCTTTGACCAGTATATGTTAATTTCTATGTGTTTGTTACTATTGTAGTCGTTGTGTAATCAGCAAAATGTATTTTGTTGTGTTACTTAAAATTATTTCCTTTGCACCGTTCATTTGTGTTGGTTGAATTGCGATGTCGAAACATAGTTATAGTCACCTTAAATTTTATAGGTTGGCGACAAAAACATAGATTCTTGAATTAAATACTAACTTCAAACAAAGCTAAAACCTACATTCAACATTCACGGTTCATAAAATGTCAATTAAACCTTAAATACAGTTTTAATCAAAATAATAACGAACACCTTTTTAACATAGTATAGGGCATCTGAATTAATACATTCAGATAAAATAAAATGTATTCCTTGGACTCTAGACGATTATACAACATACTGACACCCTGAAACACTCGAGATAGAAATAATTCAAAATATTCACGCGAAACAGCCCAAGGATAATGTTATGTAAGATTTGCACGAAAATTTGGTATCACAGTTTGTAATTCTTATTTCTTTCTTTCGCAGCAATCAATTGGGCTCGATACATATTAAAACCAATGTAACATAACATTTTAATCCATATAATCTTCTTAAGAAAACCAATACTTCTAGGAAACTATTTTAAACTGCGTTTTAATTGGCCTTTGGTTAGATATTAAATCCACTGTCAGTATAACTAACTAGCTGTTTGTGGATATACAGTATTCTCAAATATTCAAGAGCATTTTAAACCCAGTAATTATTAATTTTCATATGTATTTTTATTTTTCCTCTCTCTAAACATTGTTATCCTGTATATTGAGATATCCTTAAGAGCTCTCTTTAAATATGATTTAGATTTGATCATTGAGTTGATTATTTGATGTTGTACATTGGGTTTTGACTGGGAAAACGTGTATACACTAAGTATAAGAAAAACTGTATTAAATAATCTCAATGGCTAATTCTAAGTTCTTTACATTATTTTATCATTGTTTTATTGTAGAATCCCATCTTAAGAGCCGGTTGTAGCAAGATTTGTTCAACTTATAGGCAATCTAGTTGAATAACCTTTTCATAGTGTGCCGGTACTAATCTCATAGTTTTTCAAAAAGATAATGGTTGCTAGGGAAGTAAACATGCAAAAATAACAGTATGTCGATCTTTCAGTTTTGCCTCTCTCAAAATATAAATAAGTATAAGAAAAAAATTATTAAACAGCAGAACATTCTCATTGACTGATTCTAAGCTTTTCTTTAAAGTCCCTATAGATAGAAAATTTGATAAGAATGTAAACATAGACTTAAGCCCAGGAAAGAATAAAGGTTTAATTTAGTTATGTTCTAGTCGATACCTAAAGAGAATGTAGTTGTTTAATGAAATAACATCGGATTTTGGAATATCATGTGTGTATATAAAATTAACTAAATAAAATGTACTCATTAATAATTATTTGTCATATAAATCAACAGTGAAATTATAATTTTAGATAGAAATATTGTTGAGATCGGGTATGAAAACAAATGAGAACTTAAAACGGTATGGGCTCTATGGGTGGGCTCCTCCTTCAAAATTTAAACATGTCACCCCTAAAATGGATAAAATGACGTTAATAACTTGGATGATTATTTGTTAACATCACTATCTCCATTCATTATATACATGCAACCGCAAATCGTACTATTCTTAATTCTTGAGATTCGAAATACGAAAACGTCTTATCTATCTTCAGAGTAATATGTAAACATGAGAAATAATGAGGTAAACACGTTGATATATATAATTGCATACAGTCAATTCTATTAAAATTGTACGGTAACATTTTTTAGTTAGTTTATATCTTGTACAGTATGTTTAAGACGGATTGTATTACAAAACCAAAACACAGTGCATACTATAATTGTATTAAATTGAATTAAAATAATATAAATGTTTATTTATTATGTTTGTATAAACATATTTTAGGAAGAAGTGACAATGACCGAAATTATGACGTATATATAAAGCTACAAAATGTAACTAATTCGCTATTGTTATTTCTTAGCATAAAAATATAGTTGATATGCTACTGTCTCTGTAGTAGGCCTATAACTTTAGTTTTCGCCCAACTAAAAGAAGAAACGGGTAAACTACATTTACAACCTGTTAAAGGATAAAATTTACTCTGCGAGGCTTTTGACTACTAGTGCAAAATACACAAGCTATGACAGCTCAAAATACTCCAGATTTTCGTTTTTAGAAGGTTACAATCAAAAATGTTAAAGTTTTCTGTTACAAAACAATACAATAAAAACTTAAATACACACATGTTCTATGTTGTTATTTACATGTGGTACTTTAATTTTATTCGCGTTTTTGAGTTATATTGATGATACAGTTTGATTTAGGCTATACATCATAGTATGAATAATATATTGCATTTAGCTTTTCAGTTTGATATACTAGAGCCAGTATAGATGTGAATGAGCTTTCAGATTCGTTTCTTAGGAAATTTCGTTCAGGCAAAATACTTTTAGGAATCCATAGGCCTAAAGATGGACATAAAAGTAAGTTCACTAGATTTGGTTTTAAGTAGAATTTTAAAGATATGATATACGATTGTACACCATGTCACCATAAGGGGAGAAAAGTTGTACAACACATTTTTAATTACTATTTATGAAATGATCATATTTATGGAACAATTCTGTTTTAAAACATATAATTGAATGCGTTAAAATACTGTTTAAGCTAAGCAAGTCCTAAACGTAGCTAAACATAGACTTAAATAAACAACATAAAGACAGAACGTAAACATAAACGCGCAATAGTAGCGCTGCAACGCCATCCGTCAAGTACTTACGTCAGATAAATCGATCCGAAACAGAGAAATCGAAGCACCGACTCAAAACACATAAAAACAGTTCGTTTCTTTGTGAAGGAGTTTTCGACCACAAAAAACAGAAAATCCGAAACGCGCTAGGCGAGCGGCGAGCGGCGCGATAGTTGTCGGACCGTCGGGACTCGCGAATAGGAAATGCCCCCACCTCGCCCCCGCCATCCCCCGCCAACCCCCTCCACTACCTCCACCGTCAGTTGTGGCCGCAGAGAAGAATGTATTTAAAACAACAAGAGCAAGGCAAGAACCGCCGGAATGATGGAAGCCCGTCAAGTCACGTGGGTTCGGACCAATCAGAATCCTCCGTTTTTTGTTCTCCGTCTCGCTCCCCCTCACTCTTTCTCTCTCTTACACTTCGATACAAAGGTACCATTTTACTATTAT